TTGTTGGGTTGAGTGTTCTTTTAATATAAATGTCAGGTAAGGTTGGGTGATAGTGTTGTTCAGGTATTCCATATCCTTATTCATTTTCTTTCTTTTGTTTTTAAAATCGGTAATGGAAATAAGAGTGTAAAAGTTTCCAGCTTTAATTTTGAGTATGTGTATTTGCCCTTGGAGTCCTAGGATGTGTTGCTTTGTGTCTTTTGAAGCTTTATTGTTACATACACACATAATTAAGACTACTGTGTCTTTTGGTGCATTGACTTCTTTATAATTATGCAGTGTCCCTTTTTATCCCTGGTAATATTTCTTGTTCTGATGAAAATATAAGAACTGCAGCCTTCTTTTAATTAGTGGTCGCATGGCATAATTGGTATGTTTATACTGTTTTCATTTAATGTAATCATTAAAATACAGAAAGGAATATAGAAATATTGCTAATTTCCTTTTTTCCTCTTTCTTGTCTGATACTGGATTTAGTATTTTAATATCCCATTTTATCTGCAGTATTAGCTTATCACTTACACTTTAAAAAAATACTTTTTTATACTATTTGCCCTAGGGTTCACAATACAATCTTTTATCACAGTACAGCCATACATCATTTAACAATGGGGATACATTCTGAGAAATGCATTATTAGATGATTTTGTGATTGTGGGAACATCTTAGGGTGTACTCACACAAACCTAGATGGTATAGCCTACTATGCACCTAGGCATGTTGCTGTACAGGTTTGTAGCCTAGTGATATTCGTGTATCTAAGCACAGAAAAGGTACAGTTAAAATATGGTGGTATAATCTTAGGGGACCACTGTCGTATATGTGGCCGGTTGTTGACTGAAACATCATTATGCAGTGAGCGAATGCTTACCTTTAAACAATAACATGCTGCTTCAGGTGTAGTGTACCTTAAAACAGTGTTTTACCATCTGTCAATCATATTTATTTCAAATTCTCTTTCTGATGGGTTGTCTCTTTGGCTATGTTGATTATCATTTGACAGTGGGCCTTTTGTTTTTCTTGCTCTTTCATTATAATTTTTTATGGAATGTTGGACATTATATGGAGGATAGTAAAGCAGGATCGACAGACTTTTCTGTAATGGGCCAGATAGGAAATATTTTGAGCTTTTAGGGCCACATATGATCCCTGTTGCATATTATTCTTTCTTTTTTTCCTTCAGGAAAATAACCCTTTAAAAATGTGCAAACCTCTTTTTGTTTGCAGCTGTACAAAAACAGATCATGGGCTGCATTCGGCCTCTGGGCCATAGAGTATACTACCTCTGCAGAGGTAGGCAGGTAGTTTTTGCACTTGAGCATGGCCACACCTCTTGTTTCTCTGGGCTGTCAGTGTGGGAGGTTGAGCTGGGTTTGGGTTTTGTTACTGCTGTGGTTACCTTCCAGTCCCTGCAGATTCTTTTGTCCTTTCCTGTGCGTAGGCCGAGGGCGGAGTTGCCAGAGTGTCTTTGCCCTTGGCTTTTGGCCTTCCCTCTGTGCCCGTGCTGCTCTGTGTCTTGGGCAAGCCTGTGCTAGGAAAAGTCTCCCTCTCCTCTCCCAAAGAGGAAGACTCTGTGATCTGGGCTCAGGAAGGTTCAGCACCCTCCCCCAGGGTAGAGCAGTTCCTTTCATCCTCCCCCAGCCGCAGCAGTCTCCCCTCTTGTTCTGTAGGGAGAAGCCTCTGGCCCAGTGTGAGGTTGTGGCAGCTCCCACTGAAGGATTTAGTCCATTCCTTCAGTCCTCTTACTTCTTAGCAGGTTTTTTTAAATAAATGTACTAAGAAAGAAGTGCTGTTTTTTCCAATTATAGTACCCAATCAAGGAGTAAGTTAGTGGCATGTTAAAGGTTCCCAGTAGAGAGAGAGGGTATTAATAAATGGTAAGGAGAGTTGGCTCTGCTCTGGGTAAGGATTATAGCTTTGGGTGCGGCTGTTGTTTTGGCCCAGCTGTTCTTTAGTGGTTGCTACAGTTAAGCAGGGCTATCAGGCTCTGTAACTCCTGGGGACAGTCACGTGGAAAATAAACAATGTGAATATTATAGCATGTGACTCAATGGCCCTGAATAGATGCTGTATCTATATGTGGTCTCTGAAAGGTTTGCTGTAGTTGGAATGAAAATGAAGTAATACCTTTTAAAACAATCTTATAAGTGGAAAGAATTATAACAAACATGGAAAGCCCTCATATTTCTAGTTCTGCCTTTTAAAATTATATAATTGTGAGTAATATTTGGATATGATGGTTACTGGATAGACGATTATTGAATTTTGTTGCACCGCTTTTATGAGCTAAGCTTTTACGTCAAGAAGCTTGGATGTAAAGCTCACTTTGTTTCTGGGTTAGCTCATAGTTTTCTAAACTGTCAAACCTGACATTCAGAAAGGCCGAGAACCCCTTGAGGGGCAGGTCCTGTCACAGGTTTCATTCTAACTGGAGGGGTCGCCTCTTTCCCCAGACCCAGACGCAGAGGTGTGCCTTCACGTGTTACGGCTCGTCCAGTCCGTGGTTCTGGAGCCAGAAGTCTTCTCCAGGTCGGCTTCTGAGTTCCGGAGCTCCCTGCCCCTGCAGCGCATCCTGGCAATGTCCAAGAGCCGCAACCCTCGCCTGCAGACTGCTGCCCAGGAACTCCTGGAGGATCTTCGCACTCTGGAGCGTAACGTGTAGGTGCGCTCTGCCACCTAGGGGTTTGGTCAAAATGCCAGTGTCCCTTCCCCTCCCCAGGTCCTTCATTTTGTATTCCAAAACCATCACCATGTGCCCTGTGTTAGAGACGGCAAAATGCCATTGGCTAGAGATGGACATAAGTTTATATGTATCCCACATAACTTCCTCCTGGAAGTGAAAGTACTTGTGGGTGGGTGGTTATCTTGCCAAAGGGGAGGCCATAAAAGAATCCTTCCTTCTGGAAAGGTCTGTACTACCAGGAAGAGGGCTTCCTCTGAGTAGTTCCTCACTGTTCAGCAGATTGTCCATGACCTATATAGGCTCACCCATAAAAATGGGAGATTAGATAACCATCTACCGCACTGGTCAGCATTTTCCTGAGATACATTTCTTTAAAAAACCATCTTTAGTAATTATAATTAATCCCTCCAAAATGCAAGTTTACCTTTATGACCTTTTGGTGAACCTACTATTTCAGATTACATTGGACATTTTAGTTCTATGTTTTTTGTACCTCTTTTATTTTTGAATAAAGAAAATCAGAGAGTTGATGTGTTACCATTGCTTTCTGAAACACAAACTTGTTTTTAGGTAGTTGCTCTCCTTTATTACAATGCATACACTTGGTTGATAGAAAAAACTTTCCTTATATTGTTCTGGGCCCTTCGGCTATAAACTTAGAAGACCAGTTTTTCTCATAACAAATATTGTGAAAACCGACCTCATAGCTGAAAACACATGCAGTTGGTTGAGATTTTTTAAAGTGATAGTTCCAGCTCCCTTTTTGTGCATGGGTGTGTGTGTATCCCAGATTCCCGCCATGTATGGAGATATCCATTTTGCCTGCTTACTGGTCACGCAGTCCAGCTTTTGTTCTGGGCCACCTGCGGAGAGAAATATGCTTCATTTCTCCCAGACACCATGGTGTGTAAGAGTCAGAGTTGCCATTTAAACCACTCCTTAAAGTCGCATTGGAGAACACTTTCTCCTTTCTCGGGGGCTGTTTCCTCCAGTGTGGTGCTGTGCACTGTACGAGTGAAGCAAGTGCAACGTCCCCTCCCAGCAGCAGCGCGACATACACGTTTAAGCTGCGTCTGCTGTGCGTGGCATTTTAGAATTACTTTTTCTTTCGAGTGGATTTTTATAGGCAGTGTGCACTTTATGGCTGAGGCTGAATGAGGAGCGTAGAGGATGGCACAGTCGCTTAGATTTCATGAGCCAACATATTCATCAGAGCCAGAGGAATGTTGCAAAAGGCAGTTTAAAATTCATGGAGGCAGAAATCAGCCCATCTGTGCTGTGTGGTTCTGTGGGTCCTGATCACTGGAGAATAACATTGAGGAAGCTGTGTTTCCATACTTAATCTATCTGGATATCATAGTCTTTTTGGTTGTTATGTTTAATAAGGTAATGGGTGATGAATTAGTGTAATTAGTTTGTGCCGCCTCTAGAACTGCAGGGTTTCTTCCTGCCAGAGATGGGGTCTGCGGTGTATAGAGATGTGTGAACCTGGGCCAGACCCCTGAGTGTTGTGTGGTTTAGCTAATTAGTAGGTGGATGTGATTAAGAGGGATCAGTTTTTTCTCCTGATTTTGAACTGCTAAGGATAGCAAGAGTTCTTAGGAAAGCTACTTCAGGAAGAAACATGACTCATACGTGTTTTGAATGTATGTCAAGGGAAAAGTACGTAAGGTCAGTTTTAAGGAGTGGACTGCCTCTCTAATATTTCTGCTCTTCATATGAAGGTCAACAGGAAAACATAGGTTCTTTAATTTTTCCACATCTAATGATCTAAAGAAAATCCACTCAGTTAAAAAAATATTATACAATAAAAGCATGTACTTTACAGTGTTTGAGGTCTCTTGTGAATTTTAAAATCAGAGATAAAAGCAATAAAATAGTGCATATGTTTTGAAATTTAATTTTGACAGAATGCCTCTTGTATTTGTTAAGTTCAGGAACACTTTTTCTCCTTGGCACTGTCGGTTTGTGTGTGAAGGTGTGCAGCCTGGCAGCCGACAGTCAGACTTTACCTCCTCCCTCTCCCTTCCTCCCAGGGGGTCAGAGCAGTCTCTTGCCATCTGCTTGCTCGTTAGCCAGCTAGTCTGCATTCTCTCAAGTCTGAAAAGAGCAAACCCTCGTTAAGACGCAGAGTCTTTATGGATGGCTTCGGAGACCTGTGCCTCCCTATGGCCTGACTTGGGATAAGTCTAATGTTACAGAATTCTTCTAGTTCCGGATATTTATATAGCCCTGTGTCCTTCATTTATTCTAGAGGATTCTTAACTAAAGTACCAAGATCACAAGTCTGGGTCCAGGAGAAAATCAGACCAAGGCTGGAAATTAGATCATGGTCAAGGCAGGATTTTAATAAAGGTTGTAAATGTGACCATTACACCGATTCTGCTGGACTGGCCATTGCCTCTATTGCCATGACATTGATGTAAATGGAAAAGGTTGATAATGCTTTTGCAGATTTGATAACTTTCTGAGTAGTTCTGAAGTTGAAGTTGCTCTATTTTCTGCCGTGGTGTAGATGCTTAGACTGCCTCAGAAGGACTTCTCCAGCCAGCGTAGGATCTTGGATACAGACGCTGGTATAGTGTAGGACAGCATCCTGTAGGGCAGGAAGAGAGCTCAGAAGGTGGTGTTGACCCATTGGAAAGTCTTTGGATGCTTTTTGAGTCCAGGCTCAGGTGGGGAGGGCAGGAGACACTGGTACACCTCTGTCTTCACAAACTGCTTCTCTGCTCTGAGAGTGTGCACATTGAAATTTATCTCCTGATGTAGAGTAAGAAATTGGAGTCCCTTGAATGTGTTAGTGTATGCTATAAAATGAAGACTGTTGTTATTATATCTAACATAAAATTTACCATTTTAACCAATTTTTAAGTGACATTTAAATACATTCTTCATGTCATGTAACCATTGGTTTGTTTATTTCCAGAACTTTTTCTTTTTCCCAAACAGAAATTCTTTACCCATCATGTAACTCCCCATTCCCCACACTCTTGTCCCGCAGCCCCTGGCATCCTCTGTTCTACTTCTGTGTCTATGAATTTGAATATTCTGGGTACCTCGTATAAGTGGAATCATACAATATTTATTCTTCTAGGTCTGGCTTATTTCACTTAGTAATATGTCCTCAAGGTTCATCCTTGCACATGTGTCAGAACTTCATTCCTTTTTATGGCTGTATAATCCATCGTATGTATGAACCACGTTTAGTTTTTCCATGCGTCTGCTGATGGACACGTAGGTTATTTTTACCTTTTGGCTGTAGTGAATAGTGTTGCTCTAAACACTGAGGTACAAGTATCTGTTTGAGTGTCTGCTTTCAGTTCTTTTGGGTGTATACCTAGAAGGGAAATTGCTGAATCATGTGGTAGTTCTGTGTTTAACTATTTGAGGAACTGCCAGCCTGTTTTCCACAGCAGCTGCACCATTTTACGTGCCCCCGGTGGCGGTGCTCAGGGCCTCCAGTTTCTCCATGTGCTTGCTCACGCTTTTCACTTTTCTGTTTTATTGATGGCAGCCATTGATAATGGATGGAAGTGGGATCTCATTGTGCTTTCGACTTGCTTTCCCTAATGACTAATAATGTTGAGCATCTTTTCATGTGCTTTTTGGCCATTTGTCTATCCTCTTTGTATTTTTAATGACATTTTAATTTTGTTTTCTTTTTACATTCACCGGAGTACTGTGCTAAGTATATCTTCTTTGAATAGAGAATTGTCTATTCAAGACCTTTGCCCATTTTTGTATTGGGTTGTTTGCTTTTTGTCATTGAGTTGCAGGTATTCTCTCTTTATTATAGATATTAACACCTTATCAGGTATATGATTTGCAGACATTGACTCCCATTCTATGGTTTGTCTTTTCATTCTTTTAATAGTGTCCTTTGATGTGCAAGAGTTTTTAATTTTGATCAAGTCCAGCTTATCTATTTTTTCTTTTGTTGCCTATGCTTTTGGTGTTGTACCCAAGAAATCATTATCAAGTCCATACTCATGAAGATTTTCTCCTGTGTTTTTTCTTGAATTTTATAGTTTTATCTCTTCAGTTTAGGTCTTTGATCCATTTTGAAGTAATTTTTGTATGCGATGTAAGATAAGGGTCTAGTTTTATTCTTTTCCATGTGGATATCCATTCTCCCACTGCTGTTTGTTGAATTTTGTCATTGTTATTTGAAACTATTATCTCAGAACTCAAAAATTCACATATACTGTACTCACCATATTTTAAACTTATTTGGTTTCATGAATAGTCTTTATTGTAAGGATTTTAGATTGTTCAGTTGAGCTCCTTGAGTTGCTTGCTGCCTTTCCCACTGTAAATGTACATTTACTGCCCTTAGAACATACTTAGCAAAAAATGGCTGTCAATTAGAAAAGTGACTCCCACTCCTGTAGTCTGTTGTATTTTTTTAATTGACAAAGGCATAATTGCAGATCAGCTTTTCAGAATAAAAGGTTTTCTGCAAAATATTACTATTTCAATGTCTAGGAACAGTCCAAGCAGCAGGAAGAGGTGCAAAGGCCCTGTGAGCACTTGCTTGGTACACATTTGAAGGCATAACATAGTATTTGGGCGTGGGCCACAGAAGACTTATGATTCATTTTGTATGATGGCAAGTTGTTGGAGGGCTGGGGCAGGTGCAACATTTACATTTTAAAATGTAAAAAGAAAAAAATTAACTCTGCCTTTAAGATTATTAGATGGCCACACTGTCCGACTGTAGGCCTGGGGTCCTCCCCAGCCCATCACCTCAGATGGCAGTGTGGGAGTTCTCACTGGATGCCGTGCCCACCCAGGTGCTGTACACATGTGTGGTCCTTCCTGCACAAGGGGCAATGTGAAGGTGACAGTTCCCTGCCAGAGTGGGGGCATGCCACCGGCCCACCCGGGAGGAAAGTGCCTCCTAGTGCCACCTGGGCCTGCCCTTTGTTGCTCCCAGCAGCAGGTGTTTCTTCAGGTTGTGCCTCCTGTCTGCTCTCTTCTTGAATCACCAACCCCAAAACGGTGGTCCTCAGTTGTGAGGGAGTCATGAGCCCCTTGGGAATCTGAGAAACCTTCTCTACACAAAAATACATGGAAGCACATACCCACTGTTTGATAGGCATGGCAAGGCACTTCAGCATCGTCATGATTTCTGTGAAATCGGAACACTTCCCATGGTAGCAGCAGCCCTGGGGCTGGGCACAGAGCGTTGGCTCTAGGGCCTGCACTTGACTTGTGTCAGCTCACTCAGTCCTCACAGCCACCCCCTGAGGTTGGCATCGCCAGCTTCACTCTGCAGATGAGGACTCTGGGGCCCCAGTGGCAGAGCTGTAATTTGAATCTGTAGTCACGAAGTGGCGTCACCTCTCCTTCCTTGGGTCTGTGTCCTCATCTGGGGGTTACTTGCCTCCAGACCAGTGTCTGTCCTGCTGCTGGGCGCTTGCAGTCTGGTGACTAGCCGTTTAACCCCTGGCAGAGGGTCTGTAGCCTCTCAGGCCAGCATGCTCTGTTGCCATCAGCAGGCACAAGGGGTCCAGAGGGAAGGAAGGG